TGACTGGACGCACATGGGAGGGTGTATGTAGGGACAGGCATCTCTGCAACTGTGACTCATCCGCTTTCGTTAATATTGTTTAATATTCGTATTAGAACACAGTATAGACCTTCTGTATTCATGCAACACAAATACTGACCGATGAAATCAGCAAATTATTATTTTTCTTTTACGACTTTTGTTTTCAAAGTTCGTTGTTGCCTTCTATTTGGATTTAGTATTTCTTGTACTGTGATGAGCCTTTCACTCCTTGTGGTTAAACCATCTGATAATCTGTCTTCTCAGTCTTTTCCCCGACCCCTGTGTGAATGCACGTGTGCACACAAGTGTGTGTGTGCATGAGCACCTGTCTGTGGATGTGTGCATGTTTCATGTACATGTGTGTACGTGTGTGAGTTTGTATGTGTGTACTTGCGTGTGTATATGTGTGGGTGTGTGTACGGAACATACGGCCCCACAGGGTAGAGTTAACTAGGAACCGACTGATGGAGATGAAGCTTCAGCTATGATGCGGAGGCCATGTGGGTCACTTCAGGTTTGCAGCCCCTTCCCATGATATGCCCTAGAATTAGGCTCACTCACTCAGCGGTACCAAAAAATGGCAGCCTATTTGGAGGTTTGAGAGCTGCTGGAAACACCCATGCTCGATGGCTGACAGAATCCAGAGAGCAGAGAGCAGGGCAGACGGGAGAGGCAGCCAGATAAGTGCCAGCCCGGGGTGAGGTGGCCAGTGGAGCAGAGGCTTTCGAATCTGGGGGCCGGAGAGGGGGTCATTTCATGCCGCTGCCATGTCTGCCTTAGAGGAGAGCCATTCCAGAATCTTCTCTCTCTGTTTCAAGCTTTCCTCTGGTGCAGAATCCAGTCCCAGACAGGATGGAGTCTATGACTCTGTTTCCTGTGTGCATAGCTTGAGGGAAAATGGAGTCTGGCTGGATACCTTCTGCCAACTCAGGGTGAGTAGAACCACACTAAATGGCTTTCACTAATAGCTCCTCTTAAACTCTAAAAATAAAAGGGATTTGTTTTTATTTAAGTGTGTGTAGTGTGTTTGTATGTAAGCCACATGTGTGCAGTGCCCATGGAGGCCAGAAAAAGGCATCAGAATATCTGGAGCTGGATTACAGGTGTGAGACATCCACTGTGGGTGCTGGGAACCGAACTCGGGTCCTCTGGAAGAGCAGCGAGAGAGAGCTCCTCACTGCGGAACCGTCTCTCTGGTCACACTTCTAGGACTTTTGAGGAATGGTCGAGAGCTAAGCATGGTGGCTCGCACCTGTTATTGTAGCAATGCAGAGGCTGAGACAGAAAAAGGAAGGAGAGAGGTGGGGGAGGGGAGAAAAGAAGACGGAGTTAAGGAAAAGAAATGACTGGAGCAGCAAGTGGTCCAAGGCAGGGTGATGTCGTGGGGCAGCTGACCTGTGTACACACTAAGTCTGCACACTAAGTCTGCACACTTTGGTCCGGCAGAGGCTTACACCCCAGACACTCTCTTTTTATGGGAGGAAGCACTGTGAAGCATACGGTCCAAATCAGTTTATTACAGTAAATTTTCCCCAAAGTGCCCCTGATGTCACACCGCACTAGGGAACAAGCCTGGTTTTCCCCATGCAGCCAGGGCACCTTGATTCAGACGCAGCTGGGAGATCCTGAAGGAGGAATCCACCCTCCGCCAGCCCGAGTTTTACCACCCCCAAAGCAAACACGCTATTATCTGCACTGCCTCCTCAGAGGGGTAGGGAGGCCTGACCTCATCAGTGCATGTGGGTGCTGGGGCTGGAAGGTGCCGATCAGAGGCGCTGCCATAACGACCCACCTGGCCCTTCTTCCCTCAGGCCAAATAGACACTCAGTTGTGTGCCTATTGCCTCAGAGCATGTCCGCCTGGCCTGTGTGCAGCGCGAACGTGTTCCTCCACTTTCACGCTCAGACCCACGGACCAAGGTGAGCAAACAGACGAGGAGCCAACCTCAGGCTCACACTAACTCAGGTCAGCGCATCTCCCGCCCCGTAGTGAAGAACCTTGAACTCCCGAGTGTCCTGCTTTCACCTCCCAGGTGCTGGGGTTGCAGGCGCGAGCCACCATGGCCTGGTTTCTGCAGTCCTGAGGAATGAACCCAGAGCTCTGTGCGTGCCAGGGGATCCAGCTGAATTACTTCTCCAACCCCATAACTCTTGTGTTTAAGATGCTGGTGAAGCTAAATTCCTCACAGCTACGGTGGCAAGGAAGGATTTGGGGTGAGACACATTCTCTTCCCTTCTCCGCAAGACCCGACTAACTGCATCTGCTCAGATTAGCCACGGGGCTGTGTGGTCTCTGGATTTTGAGACAGGGCATGATTTAGTTTCTTTTCCTGTTGCTGTGATAAAATATTGTGACAAGGGATTGGAGAGATGGCTCATGGTAAGAGCACCGGCTTCTCTCCCAGAGGACCCTGGTTCAAGTCCCAGCACCTACACGGCAGCTCACAACTGTCTGTAACCCCAGTTCCGGCGGATCCCACACCCCAACACAGACATGCATGAAGGCACAACACCAATGCACATGGAATAAAAATAAATATTAAAAAGATACTATGACAGAAGCAACTTAGGAGAGAAGGGCTTCCTTCAGCTCAGTCTCACGTCCTTGGGGGGAGGCCGAGGCAGTAGGAGTCTGAAGCAGCTGACCACACTGCAACTCAGAAAGCAGAGAAAGAGAAATGCCAGCTCCTGTCCAGTACCTTTTCCTCACTTAGACCGTTCAAGAGCCAGCTTTAACCCATGAATATGGGGGCAGGGGATTCAATTCAGTTCCGAACATATATCTTCCTGCCACATGTGGATTCCACGTCCCTGAACGTGGGGTCAGTCTTTGCCTTCTGTGTGCCCACCCCCACCTCCAGAGCTTCAGATGGAACCTGGGGCCTTAAGCATGCTAAGCCAAGGCTCTACCACTGAACCACATCCTTGGCTCTTCCGTGTGCCTCTGCTAGGCCCCTGTTCAGTACAGAGCACCGAGGGCCAAGACCTCCTTCAGTGGGGAACTCAGAGCTATGCGGAATAAAGAACACAAGGGACAGGCAAGTCTGTTGCAACAGCTGCAGAAGCATCTGGGCCTGGTGGCGTGATCCTGTGGTCCCTGCTGCCTGGGAGGCTGAGGCAGACCTCTGCTCTCAAGAGGGGCACCAGTGTCTTTAGAAGCAAAGGAAGAGACACTAGGAGTCAACACAAACAGAGAAGAGGCCCTGTGAGGGCAAGAGACGAGGTGCCCATCCACAAGCCAGAGATTCGGTGCCTAAGAGCACTTGCTCTGCAAGAATTAGGGCCTGAGTCTGGATCACCAGAACCTATGTAAACAGCCGGGTATGGCTGGCTGGCAGAAGCAGGGGGGTTGCTGGCTCCAGGCTGGCTCCAGGTTCATTGACAAACCCTGTCTCAAGGAAGGACAGTAGAGAATAACAGAGAACAACACCCCACTTCCTCCTCTAGCGCTTTGTTTGGTTGGTTTGCTTTTTTGAGACAGGGTTTCTCTGTGTAACAGCCATGGCTGTCCTGGAACTCACTCTGTAGACCAGCGCAGCTTCAAGCTCACAGGAATCCACCTGCCCTTGTCTCCAGAGTGCTGGGATTAAAGACAAGTGCCACCATAACCCAGCCTCCTCTAACCTTCTTTAACAACCATGAGCATGCCTAGCTGTACCCACAGACACATGCACACACACACACACACACACACATGCACACACACACGCACACACACATGCACGCACACACACGCACACACACATGCACACACACGCACACACACATGCACACACGCACACACACGCACATACGCACACACACATGCACACATGCACACGCACACACACATGCACGCACACACACACATGCACACACGCACACACGCACATACAATTAATAAGGAAAAAGTTGAAGCTAAGAGCTTCAATGCTTGCTGTGTGCACAGCTGAGCTCTCAGAGGCAATGGGGACCCCTGTACACGTTGCACTGCTCTCCTATGTCAGAGCCAAGTAGCCTATGTATGGGAGGTTCTGGAAGCATTCTATCTTGACCAGCCACAGAAGAGCTGCGGAAAGACTACATTTTTGGAATCCAAAACCACCCGAAGATTTAAGTGTTGGTGATGAGGTCAGAGAGTCACCGTGGAATTCAAGGTTCTTCATGGCTCCACATAATAGCTACCTATTAAGTTTGGCTTCTGCAACCCTCCCAGCTGCTATTTAGACAAGGGAAAGCCGTCATCTGCCGCAGCCACCATGGAGGCCTGCTTTAAACTTTGTCCTTAGAAAACTGTTTTCATAACTATTTGGCTTGGGTTCTCTTTCCAGCCCTGTACAAGATGTACGGATGGCATAAATTGTCTTCATCGAGACTGAGGCCTGTCTTTCCAATCAATTGGAATAAGAGGGTTTGTTTTTTCTTGAAAAAAAGTCACCAATCCTAATGATATACATTCAGACTCAAGACTTACTCTAAAAAAACAAAACAACAAAAACAAAACAAAACAAAACCTTCCAGGCAACATAAAGGGTTGCTTCTTATTTTGATTAATTTTTTGTTTTTGTTTTTATTGTTTTTTTCTTTTTCTTTTTCTTTTTTCTTTTTTCTTGAGACAGGGTTTCTCTGTAGCCCTGGCTGTCCTGGAACTCGCCCTGGGAACCAGGCTGGCCTTGAACTCAGAGATTCACCTGCCTCTGCCTCCCAAGTGCAGGGATTAAAGGTGTGCGCCACCACTGCCTGCACTTTTGAGTAATTTTCAAGTCATTGTTACTGCATGTGTGTAACGGGTAATTACACACCTGTGTTGGGGGGGCAGTAGTGTGCTGAGAGGCACACGTGGAGACCAGAGGCCAACTCTGTGGCATCGTTCATCTCCTTCCACCATTACGTGGGTTCTGGGGATCGAACTCAGGTCACCAGGCTTGCGCCACAGGTGCCTTGGCAGCCGGGCCATTTCTCCTTTCTCCCACCCTTGGTTTTGTTTTGTGTTGTTTTGTGTCTTTCCAGAAATCCCAGACAGACCTCCCACACAGCTCAGAACCATGCCATCTGGCCTACCTGAGCTACAAAGGCCTTGGGAAAGGTGTGTATTTTCCCCGGGCATGGTGCCACGCTGGGCAAACTGAGCTTATGGTAATTAGGCCAAAGGATAGAGTGGCTGGTGCTGAGGGTTAACTGTGAAATGCTCCATGCAGGTTCCTGTGCTCTACTCCTTCCTGGTCCTTTCTTGGTGGCTCGCTTTTGAAAGGTTGTGGTCCCCTTAGAGCAGTGGTTCTCAACCTGCCCAATGCTGTGACCCTTTAAGACAGTTCCTCATGTTGTGGTGACCCCCATCCATAAAATTATTTTTATTGCTACTTCATAACTGTAATTCTGCTACTGTTATGAATCGTAATCTATGCTTTCCAATGGTTTTAGGTGACCCCTGTGAAAGGGCTGTTCATTCCCCAAAGGGGGTCATGACCCATGGGTTGAGAACGGTTACCTTAGAAGATGGAGCTAAAAGGAGGAAGTAGGTGGTAGATGGGAAGTATTTTTGTTCCTGGTCCCTTTCTGTCTCCCTACTTCCTGTCTGTCACTGGACAAGAAGTGCCTCTGGTCACCCCGACCTTCCACTGTCACAGTCTCCTACACATCCCCAGTGGGGACAAGAAGTCACAAGCTGAAACGAGAAACTGAGAGCTGAAATAAATCTAAGCCCCCCATGCCCGGCCATGTTGTTTGTGCCAGATATTCAGACCCAGCGAAGGACAGACCTGCTACTGTGAAGTCAGGCGGCCACAGGGTCTCCCACATAAGGCCGGGAGCAGGAGGATGGCTGCTCTCAGGCCTGCCATCCCATAGTTGGAGCAGGAGAAGCCCAGGAAACATGCCCCAGTGGCTGTGCCCACTCTCCTGTTGCCTAGGGAGGCTGAGATCCTGGTGGGCTGTATGTAGACTTGGCTAGGTTGAGACCACAGACAAGACCACCAGGGCTGTCAGCTCAGGATGGCTGCAGACAGAAGAGGCAAACAGAGCGGGTACCAGGCCCTTAGAAAACAACGGACAGCCCACATCCCTGTAGGGGTCCTGAGGCCTGGTGACTCAGCTCCCTTCCCTAGTCTTTGGGCTCCCCCACATCCGCCTCATGCATTCTTCTGTGCGTTCCTTGGTCACAGTTGGTTTTAGTAGCAGTGCCAGATTTCCTAAGTCCGGGAACTTAAAGGGCAATGGTCTTCAGAGAGTGAGGCAAACAGGCACATCTGGCTCTAGCGGCGTCCACCCATGCAGCCAGCAAGGTGTTCCGAGATAGCATCTATGGTAGGTCGGTGAGGGGCAGCGAAAGAGGATGCCAGGGCTGGGGAGAGCGCACCAGGGCCGAAGCTGTGAATATGGCCAACAGGTTGTTTTCACTATGACTATAAAACCCAGGTTTATATGCAAATATTGTCTTCAACTTGATCACTTTCAAAGAAAGACATATTGTTTGCTGTTAAATCACTTCTGCTAGGAAACAGTATTATTTGTCAACAATCTTTGAAGCAATACAGATTATGACAAGTATAGATTAAAAGTTATATTGTGTATTTAAAAGGTAAATCATCAAAAATAAATAAAAATGCAAGGTGTGGTAGCTTTTAATCCCAGCCAGTCCTCAGGAGACGGGGCGGGTAGATCTCTAGGAGCTTGAGGCCATCTTGGTCTACCTAGAGAGTTCCAGGCCAGCTAGGGCTACATAGTGAGATTCTGTCTCAAAATAAGTAATTAATTAACTATTTCTAACAAGGAGCTGGAAAGATGGAGCAACAGGTAGGAGTACTGATGGCCACTCACAAGACCTGGGTTTGATTCCGGCATCCACGTGGCAGCTCACAGTCATCTGTAACTCCAGTTCCAGGGGATCCAGCATCCTCTTCTGGCCTCCACAGCTACCAGGCATGCAGAGGATGCACAGACATATGTGCAGGCAAAACATCCATGTACATAAAAATCAAAAAATAAAACAAAGAATAAATAGGTGAGGGGGTGGAGAGATGGCGCAGAGGGTAGAACACTGGCTACATGCTCTCAGGGACCTGAGATTGGATACCCAGCAACCATGTAAAATGCAGAACGTGGCTGCCCACACACCGCAAGGGGTGGAGGCAGGAGGATTGCTAGGACTTGCTGGTTGCCAGTCCAGTTCCAGGCTCTGTGAGAGACCCAGCTTCAAGGGAATAAGGTGGAATGATAAAGCCGGAAGGCCAGCCTTCTCCTCTGGCCTCTATTCGCACACTCCCTGTGCCACACCCCCCCCCCACAGAGATGTGCACATACCACATTCACACATATACACAGACGCCGCCAAAATAAAACACAAGCTTGGTTTAATGAATTGTTCAGAAATTCGCATGCTATTTTATTTAAACACGGTGGTTTTAGTTTGTTTGTTCATGTCTAAGCCTCCACTACACCATTGAGCTTCATTCCTATCCCAACAGTGTATTAAGTAAGAGGGTTTTAAAGATCATTTTGTGCCAAACGTGGTGGTGCACACCTTTAATCCCAGCACTCGGGAGGCAGAGGCAGGTGGATCTCTGTGAGTTCGAGGCCAGCCTGTTTACAGAGTGAGTTCCAGGACTGCCAGGGCTACATAGTGAAACTCTGTTTTGAAATTTTTTCATTTATCTTCTCTTTGGGGGAGGGTGGTGAGACAGGCTTGTGGAGGCCATCGCGTCGGCTCTGGGGATCAAGCTCAGATGGCCAGGCACGGTGGCAGGCAATCTCGCGGTCCCTCTAACTATTTCAGCTTTAAAAATAGACAAGGAGGTTGAGACTGGAGGATTGAGAACCTGAGGCCTGCCTAGCCTCCAGAGCAAGACTCTGTCCGAAAACAAACAAGTGAATAAGAACCCTTCCAGCCATTGCAAGGCGGCTGGCTCAGCCACTGCGAGCAGCTTCCTTTCCTCCCAGATCTTTCCGGGGCTCCCTGGAGCCCCCAAACTGAAGGGGCTGTCTGTGATAATTGGCTGTTGCTTACTCCCTGTCCACGTCCACAGCTGTGGTCAGCTGCTCCAGACCTGAGGGCCCCAGTCACGTGGTTCCTGGGCCAAGCTGAGCTAAAACCAGTTCTCCCCAGAGAGCGGCAGAAAGCACAGCTGTGCAAACACAGCTCTGGCGCTCAGAACCAAATGACCCCGTTTCTCTGCCCGGTGCTCTCTGCTCTCTGCCCTTCCTAGGAAAACAGCTTTGCTCTTGGAATGTGCTAAGCGGGGAGTTTCAGTACAGATGCCCCAGCTTCCTTGCTGGCTTTCCTGAAAGCTGATTAAACCGGGCTTTCAAGTGAATTCTTTTATATCCAAAGTTTTAGCTATTTAGATGTTAAAGGGGTACGTGTGTGTGTGTGTGTGTGTGTGTGTGTGTGTGTGTGTGTGTGAAGTGTTTTGCCTGCCTGTGTGTATGTATGTGTACCACCTGCATGCCTAGGCCAGAAAAGGACACTGAATTTCTTGTGACTGGAGTTACAGATGGGTTGTGAGTCACCACGTGGGTGCTGGGAACTGAACCCCAGGTCCTCTGCAAGAGCAGCAAGCAAGTGCTCTTAACCGCTCAGCCATCTTTCCAGCCCCATGTTTATGTTTTTGTTGTTTTGTTTTGCTTTTTTTTAAGTCCCAATATAATAAGCATCTATATAATAAGAGGAAACTGCTGTTACCTCTGATTTTAACTGAAAGAAGTGATTGACCTGAGCTCCCAGCTCAGCTCATATGGACCACACTGTAAATGGAGAGCGCTCGGTCACCCAGGCTCGAATAATCACACAGAAACTATATTAATTAGAACACTGTTTGGCCAATGACGTGGGTGTATTCCTAGCTAGCTCTTACATCTTAATTTAACCCATTTTTATTAATCTGTGTATCACACGGGCTGTAACCTACCTGTAAGGTTTCACCCAGCATCCTTCTTCTTCGGCAGCTACATGGTGTCTCCTGACTCCGCCTACTCTCTCTCTCTATCTCTTCCAGCCTGGCTACATTCTGCCCTGCTGTAGGCTAAAACAGCTTTATTCATTAACCAGGGAAAGTTACACATATACAGAAGGACCTCCCACATCACTACACCTTGGTTACCCTGTATCCATCCCCTTCTTGATTTCCTTTGGTGGAAGTTGCTTCCCTTTTGTGATTCTTGCAGGTGCAGAACACAGAGCTGGCAGCCTCCAGAGCAGCGATTTCTGAGACTTTCCAAGCTCAGTGCCTCCATCCCCCGTCCATCCCATGTATCCTGGAGACCTTTCAGTGCGCACTTTCATTTACAAGAGACTGATGACCCTCGCTTTCTCAAGAGTCCCTTGCCCACTTGCCTGGAGTTGCTTTCTGTGGGCTGGAGCTCAGAATCAAGCTTAGTGAAGCCCTGACTTAGAGTGGAATTCTTGCATGTAACTTCTTTTCAAAAACATGTTCATTTCTTTCCTTACCTTGAAACAATTCAAGCGTCTTGCCGTGTTCGTGGCACACTCTGTACCAGGCATGTAGAAGAAAGGGTGTCAGTTCCCAGTAGACTAGAGAACAGACTTAGGCTGGGTACCGTGCTTTCCAAAGCACTGGGCACCTGGAGGCTTTGAGTTCAAGGAATCTGGTCACCCGTTCTGGTTTCTTCTCTCAGAGGTCAAGTTTGGCTCAAGGAACAACAGAGTTAAACATTTTCTCCATCAAAAGCCATGAGTTGTGAGAGCAAGTGTTTCTTAATTTGTGGCTATGAGCCCATGCTATAAATGTTGAAGGGAGCAGTAAAACTTCTCATCAGGGTCACTTGGCCCCTTAGGAAGTCTATGGGAGTGTGTTCCTCGTGTCTGTAAGCTGCTGCCCTGGGGGAGAAGGGGCCTTGTTTTCTAGCAGCTTCCCTAGCCTTGGCTCCATAGAGAGCTCAGCCTGTTAACAGGGAGGGGACATGGGCAGTGTCATTTCAGACGTTCATCCAGCAGAAATGCTGATGTGGTGTCATGGGGGGACTGGCACCACCTGGCAAGGAAGCTCAGCAAGCTGACGGCAGAGACTGCACATGGGCCACCAAGGCTGTGGAGGGAGACTCACTTAGGCACGAGGCCAGGAGAGTTACAACTCTATCGATCGAATTTCTCCCTGGAACATCATTCCTTACATGGTCTGCTCACACTCAGGGATTAAGAAAGTGGAGTTGCTGGCCGGGTGGACCATGCATGGGCTTCTTCCTGGAGTCTAGCAACCACGGACGCCCACGACGACATAGAGGCCCCAAAACAGCACAAAGGTAAAGGAACCCAAGGTCTGTTTGGCCAAACAAAGGCAAGATGTCAGCCCCTTGAGCCTCTGAGAGTAGCCATCACCAAACCAGGAGGACAGCTGGCCAAAGTCAAGCATGGGGGGTTCCCGCAGGAAACGTGGTCCAGTTCCAGCTAACATGGCTGTGGGAAAGAAGGGAGGAGTTGCGAGACTGCAGGAGGCGTTAACAGTCCAAGGAAACGTGTAGGTCCTGTTCCGACCCCACTGTGGACAGATCAGCTGTGCAAACTCATCCTAGGAGGGTTTGGGAGGTACGGCTCAGCCTGAAATGTGCTTGTCAAGCCAGCACCCACGAAAACCAGCAGGAGCTCAGGAGGTAAGAGCAATGGTCGCTCTTGCAGAGGACCTGGGTTCAGTTCCCATCAACCACATCAAGTGGCTCCTAACCGCCAGTAACTCTGAATCTATGGGATCTGGTACCCTTTTCAGGTCTCTTCAGACACTTGCACATACACAGTACATGGTGTGGGAGAATTGTCTGTATTCTGTCAATCATGTTTTAAATAAAACGCTGATTGGCCAGGCAGGAGGTGTAGGTGGGAAAACCAGACAGGAAGTGGAAATGATGCAAGGAGAGCAGGAGAATTCTGGGGAGGAGGAAGTTGATTCCTCCCACTCCTGCCCAGATCACCGAAGCAGCAGGATGTGAGCTGCCCCGCTGAAAAAGGTACTGAGCCACATGGCTAAAATAGATAAAAAAAATGGGTTAATCAAGATGTGAGAGTTAGCCAGTAAGAAACCTGACCTAATGGGCCAATCAGCTTTATAACTTATAGAGATCTCTTGTGTGGTTGATTTTCTCTGGGGCCTGCCGGTTGTGGGGTACCAGGCGGGGACAGAAAACACAAACAAGCAGGCCCAACATGTTACAAGTACACAGACACGCAAGCAGCCACTTATATTCCTAAGTTTAGGGGGAAAAAAGCCTTATGCTTATGAGTATTGCAGATTATTAAATCCTGGGGCTTCCTGGCTAGCTGGTGTGGGCTATCTGGAAGTCCTGAGGGGATGTCTTAAATCACAAGATGAACGATGCCTGAGGAACACCAGAAGTTAACCTCTGGCCACCCACATGTACACCCACATACAAATAAACATGCATGCATGTGTGTGCACACACACATGTATATACACACACTCACGGAGAAACAGGAAAACGTGAGAAATAGGCCGGGTATAGAGTGACAGTGACTTGTACTTGGGCCCCCGAACCTTTTCTCTGTCAACTCTCAGGTTAGAAGTGGTCCAGGGGAAGTTTCAGAGACTGGGTGAAGCGTAGCAGGCAGATGGGCACACAGCTATGTAGTGTGAACTCTAATTGATCTTAGTAATAAAAACCCAGAGTCAGGTATTGAGGTAAATGCCGAAAGATCAGAGAAGTAAATGAGCCACTAGAGAGACCTTTTACTCTACCTTTTCTCAGACCAAAATGGGCAAGATCCTGTCTCTAGGAACCCTCAGACTGAATGTGCTGAGCTCCTGTCTCCTCCCGCCTTATAGTCCTCTCTCCGCCCAGCCGTATCTCTTCCTGTCTTCACCTTTCTAGTGCTGGGATTAAAGGTGTGTGACTCCCAAGTAGTGGGATTAAAGGTGTGAGTCACCACCGTGTGACTCTGTTTCTTTTTTAGACTGGATCAATCTCAAGTAGCCCAGGCTGGCCTTGAACTCACAGAGATCCATCTGCCTCTGCCTCCCCAGTGCTAGGATTAAAGGTGTGCACCACCACTGCTTGCCCTCTACGGCTAACTAGTGGCTAGCTCCACACTCTGATCTTCACACAAGCTTTATTTGTTAGATCACAAACAAAATATCAACACACAGATGTCCACAGGTTTCATCCTGTTCTACTTCAGCGTCCCCATCCCCTGACCTGGTCTCCCCACCGACCATTTCTGCTGACCCAAAACTGTGGTCAATCTAACTGACGAAGCAACTAGCCCAAGACTTTTCTCAATTGTTAGGTTGATGATGATATTGAGTTGACGCTGGGGGCAGGAACGGCGTCTACTGCAGGTACATACCAAAGGCTTTAGGGGTAAAACAATAGCCCATCTACAATTTGCTTTAAATACTTAAAAGAATGTGTTGGGATTTGGAGGAAAACATAGAGCACTGAAAGCAGAAATGACCATGAAGGATGGGCCATGCTTGTCTTACGTGCTGTGCAAACCTTGCGTGTGTTAGGCAAGCACTCTGCTGCTGACCTACCTTTTCAATTCTCTTGATTGGAAATATTTCATGAAAAAGAAACAAAACAAACTAGGGGAGGCCTAAGAAAATGAAGTAGATCCTGAAGAGCTGAGCTGCCCATCATCCTTGCCACCCTGTTCCCCCCTCACCATCACCCTTCTATCCCTTTCCCCAACATCCCCTCTCCCCCTTCCACCCATCTCCTCTCCACCTCTTACCCCTCCTACCCACCACTCCTCCCACCCCTGTCACCTGTCCCATCCCTCCAACCCCTGTCACCCCTCCCACTCCTCCCCTCCCTCCCCCCCCTGTCACCCCTCCCACCCCCCAAGTTGCATAACCGGAAAAGTCTTCAGCTCTTTCTTGCTAAGGATATGGGTTAGGAGAACGAGGAAAACCCATGGCTGATTACTACCATGCACTTCCCAGAAGAAACCAATTAACCCTTACTGTTACTCTGACTGAGAGTAAGAGGCTTGGGCGTGTGCGAGCTGGTCTTGTTGTTCCTATAAACAAAACTGAAAACAAACCAACCCGCTCTGGCCTCTGAGAATCCTCTAAGCCGCTGGCTGTTTCAAAAGCCTGCGGAGGGCAGGGATTCGGACTCAAGGTGCAGGTTTTAAAAGGTGCCCCATAAACTGAAATGCTAGTGATTGAGATACAAGGCTTTGAGAGGGGAAGCTGTAGAGAGTTTTCATTGTCCTGGCCATGGTTTTGGTTAGGAGAGAAGAGTAGGTGCTGGCCTAGCGCCAACCAAAACGGAGGGCAGAGGACGCAGCAGGAGCCCCGTGGTTTTGTTCACAAATGCTCTCTCTCCATGGCTGCACATCTTAGAAAGGGGTCTATTTTATGTCATTTTAGGTTATTTTAGGGCCTCAGTAGGAGCCTATGGGTCTAGGATTTTTGAGCAAATCCCTTCCTCCCTCTTTCTTTCCCTTTCTTCCTGGATTCTTCAAAGTGTTTTTAAAATAGGAAGCATATTAGACGGACAATATTAAACAGAAGAGCATATCTGGTGTTGAAAAAATAATCAATGTTCATTAAAACGCACAAAATCAGTACAGTCAGAAACAAACATAAGCTTTTTTTTATAATCAAGAAGAAATGGGCTGTGGAATATTTTAAATTATTGTTGAACTTTTAAAATGGCATTTCTTTGTTTACTTTGTGTGTGCACACGCAGCACACACCATTGTGTGCAGGTGGAGGTCAGAGGACAACTTGCAGGAGGTCCAGAAAACCTACCTCTTCCCAAGGGAGCATGAGAGGTGGCATCAGCCTGTGAGCCAGGATGTCGCTGAACACATCCCGGCTGTTGTGTGTAGAGTTATTCATTGTGGACGGCGATGGGATGAGGCACAGCAGTGCAAGCTTCCTTTTGGAATGTCAACATTAACTTTATGGGCATTTACACTTTTTAAAAAAGATTTATTTATTTATTATGTATACAGTATTCTCAGTATTCTGTCTGCATGTATGGGCACCAGACCTCATTACAGATGATTGTGAGCCACCATGTGGTTGCTGGGAATTGAACTCAGGACCTTTGGAAGAGCAGGCAATGCTCTTAACCTTTGAGCTATCTCTCCAGCCCCATGCATTTACACTTTTTAAATCTTTTCAGTGTCCCTGACACTAATTTAACCACATTTTTATCTGACACCCTTAATCAGCTGCAGCTTCATGGAATTACAACAGTGAGGTAATGAGTATCTTCGTGTGCTGGAAGGGTGGAAATCCCTGGATATGAGATAAAAGGTAAGGCTCACATCCATTTTTTCACAATAGACACAGTCTGAAAAGACACTGTGGCTCTGTCAATCCTTCAAAGAGGGGATCTAATGACAGCCTGGAATGACACACGTCCTGTGCCCATGGTCTTTGTGGCCCTCTGGCGAGGCTAAAATCCCTCATTCTTTTCCTGGAAGTGTTCTCAATGAGGCTGATGGACAGGTCAGTCTGGACCTGTATCCTGGAGCCAATTCTGAGATGGAAGGTGGAAGAATGCTTGGCTGTTGGGTCCGGATGGTAGGAGATGGAAGGGTGGACAGGCAATGAGAGAGAGCCTGGGAGAGGGGCTGGCATGGGGCACCTGCGCTGGCTGTGTGAGCAGGGGCTCTGACGCCATCATAGAGAGTGCAATGCTTCAAAAGGACAAACATAAAGGGAATGGCTCTTCCTCCCCCCACCCCTACCTGTCCCCGCACCCTCACCCCTGCTTCCTCCATCCCCTTGTCTCTTTTCTTCTCCCCTTCTCCTTCACTTCTGTTTCTGTCTGTGGAGGTGCCACAGCCTGGGTTGTGGGGGGCTGCAGTAAGGAGGAGTTCTCGAAACGGGAGATCCATGGTGGTGGTCACTAAACCCAAGAGTAGAACAAGTGGCCATCCACAGGACCCTGGTGTGAGTGGAGTCAAGAATCCTGGTCCCCAGACTGGGCCAAGCAGGGTGAGGAGGGTGTTCTGAGTGGGGCAGAAGTAACCACATAAAGGCCCAGCCTTAGCATGATGGGGATGGTTATTCTTTTGGGGGAAGGAGGTACAGATGTGGAAAGAGAAGGAATCTGTACTTCTGGACAAAACTCAGAGAGGCCAACCAAAACAGATGTGCACCGTCCACATCTGCCCTCTAGCCCGTCTCCCATTACATCGCTGGAGCAACGGTCGCTCTGTGACAAGCACCCTGGCCCCTAAACCTGGATTTCAAATGCCATTCCCTGCTTGCAGTCAGTGGGAGGAACAGTGTGTTCCAGGGACAGACAGGGAGAGGACACCTGAGCTAGGGTGTCTCCGTAGTCCACAGAACAGGACCATCCAAGGAACCTGGATCGCAGCCCAAAGGATCACCAACTCTGTAAGATGGGACTGAACATCAAAATAGATGGAGCCAGGTAAGTACCAGCGGCCAGAGGGAGAGTGTGAGGCACAATCGCTCTGACAAGGACAACATGTGTTGTATGACCTCCTGCCGGACATGTATCCGTGACACAGGGATGAGGCCAGCTTCCCAGATGACATCTGGCATGTGCCACCTCATCAGGCGGTTGACATGGTGGCAAATCCAAGCTCGGCATCGCATGTCAGAGGACAAGTCAGCTGGCATTCACACCGCCGCGTCTCTGCGGTTCCTGTGGAGGACGGCTCGGCCCCAGCCACTCGGAAGTTCTGGATGTCAAACACTGAGGTGCATCCTGATGAAGCGGCTGTCCCAGTATCTCCAAAAGTGGCCGGGTCATGAAGGTCAGGGAAAGACAAGGAAGTGACTCAATGTATTTGTGACTAGACTTAAAGGACCTTATTGGGACAAGTGAGAAAACCTGAGTGGGGTCTCAGGATTCAAGGGTGGCCTTGAGTTGCTGAGAGGCCACTTCCTGGTGTTGACGGCTGCCAGCTTGTGTGTGAAAGGATTCAGTGTTTGGGACTCAAGGACCAACCTCAAGGGCTGGTTACTCACCTCTGTGTGTGTGTGTGTGCGCGCGCGCGTGCAGATGCCTGTGTGAGCACATGGTGGGGAGGAGGCAGGTACCCTACAGGATTGCACTCTGCCTTATTTATTCCCTTGAGTCAGGGTATCTCATTGACCCTGGTGCTAGGTCTGAGCCAACAAACCCTGGCAATTCTCCTGTCTCTTCTTCCATAGTGCTGGGGTTACAGGAGTATGTGATCGTATCTGGCTTTCTCGTGGGTTCTGGGGGTTTGAACATATGACCTCATGTTTGTGAGGCAAGTATTCCTTACCCTGGAGCCTCCTCCCATCCCAAGAATTGTACTGTGACTTCAAGTCAAGATTCCCCCTCCCCGTCTTCTGGCAGTACTGGAGATCCAAACTGGGGCCTCACACACACTAGGCAAACGCTGTACCCCTGAACTACAGTCCTAGCATGAGCTTCCCAACTCTTAAATGGCTCAGAAGGATTTTTGTAGGTACACGATCTAACGGGGTGTTATTCAGGACCTCAGGGTGTGCTCCCCTAGATAGGAGGCCAGCAGTGAGGGAGAGATGCCCAAGCCTGGGTGACTCATTCTCCATTCATTGACCCTCAAGCCCAGGTCAGGTTTCTGAATTAAAAAGAAAGGGGGGGGGGGGCATGACTGCTCCTAGCTATGGTGGAGGAGAATGTTTACTGGAGATAAAAGGAGAGCACAGCCAGAGACCGGGACATCTGGGAGAGTCCAGAGTGGACGTGACCCTAAGCCCTGGGGGGGGGGGGGCGCATGAAGAGGGGCGGGGGGAATCAGGTGCAGTAGTCCAAAGAGGATGGGCAACCAAAATGGCTGGATTCTATAGGGAAGACTATCTGGGGGAAGGGCAGGCCAGCCCCTGGGCTGGAGAAGTTTAGGGTAGAGGACAGGGTGTGCCTGCCAGGAGGACCCTGTAATGGGTAGGGACTGAGGGATGCAGGGAAAACTTGGCAGCCAGCATCCACTTTGACGTGGTAATGGATCCCTCAGTTAGCCTTTTGTCTCAGGTGTGAGACATTTCACAGAACCCTGCATGCAACCCACCAACTCTGCAAAGACCGTTTCCTATTAGAGAACTGGCCTGGTCTGGGCCTTGTGTCCCCAGAGCTTGACCCAGTACCAAGTGAATGCAGGTCCCAAATAAGCACCGGCCACATGACAAGCTGCGAAGAAGTCTCTTCCTGTAGCGTTGGCCATCACATCCGGTCATGCCCAGATGGAAACCAAGCTTGTGCCTCTGGGTCTCCTGCCCTAGGTTCGGGTGGAGCTCTTAGAACGTGGCATGGCTTTGCTGCCTCTCTCTTTCAAGACTGACAAAAAGGTCTAGAAAAGGTCACCGCCACGGACCAGTACATTCCCTGGAGAGCCTGGAGAGAAGAGACCCAGGCAGGAAGAAAGCTGACCTGCAGCTGTGCCGCCGTCGGTAGGGCGCTTGACCAGTTCAAGAAGCGCTGGGGTCTGTCCCCCTGCACCATATAAACCAAATACGGTGGAGCCTACCTGTGGTCCCTGCACTGCCGTCCTTGACTGTGCAGTGAGCTGGGAGCTAGCCTAGGCTATGTGAGATCCTACCAAAATAAATAATAATCATCATCAGAGAAAACCAGAGTGCTCACTGCCAAGGCTGATGAGCACAGGGCTGGGGACTGCAGTCAGTGTGAACAGGAAGATTCACATCTGAAGAGATGTGAATCCTCATCCCTTCCAGGAGGTTGTGTTTCCCAGCTTCTAAAGCTCTGGCAATTTCCTTAGAGTCCTTAAAAAATGTGATTCTGGCCTTGTGTGGTGGTGCACACCTTTAATCCCAGCTTTCGAAGGCAGGCAGGCAGGCAGGCAGGCAGATTTCCGTGAGTTCAAAGCCAATCCAATCTACAAATCGAGTTCCCGGACTACAAAGGCTACACAGAGAGACAATGTCTAGAAAAACCACACACACACACACACACACACACACACAGGGCGGCGGGTGGGAGTAGGGGAGAGAAAGAAAGAAAAAGAAAATGATTCTGGGGAACCCAAGGACAGTCCAACATTGATTCTGAAAAGGTCTGAGCTGTCCCAAAGCACCTCCCAGGGGATGTGTCTGCCTTTACTCTAGTGGCCTCAGCCTGGGCCACCACTGGCCGGGTTGTCCTTTTGTTCAGTTTCTCCAACTGGAAAGAACTTGTATAAAAAAGAAAAAAAAAAAAAAAAGACTCCAGCCCTCAGTCACGTCACAATGGGGCCGATTGTTCTGAGCGGGCCACGCTGACTTAAATATTTACCTTTTTTGTTTCACAATCCAACAGGAAACAGGGGTCAAGGATTTTTTTGTTTCCTCTCTCCCTCCTCCGGGCAGCACTATGGAACAGCTGTTTTTCTAGTTCCCCAAGAAGCAAATGATAACAGGTAGGGAACTGGCACTTAGCGGATGTCTCCGGATCACAACCTTGGGTTTCAACTGAATCCTCCAGCAACCGAGTGGAACAGTCAGTGTGGAGCCTTGGCCAACCTTCTCTGACTTTCCCTGTGCCCCTAGGGTGGGGCTGTGGGCAGGAGGGGAGCTCAGCCTTGTTAAACAACAGCAAAATCCTAGGATTCTGCTCTAGCAGACCAGATGAAACCGGAATCAAGTGTGCCAACTGTCACCTCAAAGGGTCGGTTTCCCGCATCCTGGGCAATCTTGTCTGCCTGCATCATTGCGATGAGAAAGCTTGTGCTGCTTTAACCCTTGTGAACCGTGCCCTCCTCCCGAGATGCCGGCCATGTTAAGTAGATAGAGTGCCCATCTAGCACAAATAAAGCCCCAAGTTTGGATCTCCAATGTCACAGAACGTTTCCTGGGGCTAACCTCTCGGAGTTAAGGCATTCCTTGTGAGACCTTTCTGTTCTACTTTGTGTCTGAAGGCTGTCTTGATGCACGAACCACAAATAAAACGCTAGTTAGGTCTGTGACTAGATCTATGTGATACAGCGAATGTTACCAGTGACCAAAGTAGACTGCTGGGTTCCTTGTCAATCGAAGGCCACGTCGGGTGGTGACCCGAGAATGGGGATTTGGGCGCTCTGTGGCACGCTGTATGTGTCGGGTATGCACAGGGCTTGGACTTCATCCTGGGCAATGAAAGACTGTGAAGAGCCTCGAAAGGAACCTCAGGACTTCTCCAGACCCCCTTCCAGAAGTTCTTGCTGGGTGAGAGACCACTCCTGCACAGTTCCCTCTGGATTCTGGAAGGAGGGGCCGTTACTGAACACGCAACCTCAAGCCAAAGAGTAAACTGGTAGTGGTGGTGGGCTTCTTGTTTAAATTGCCTCAGAACGCAGTGAAGGGGAGGGGAGACTTTCCTCGGGTTTGGTGTTGAATTTGAGATAAACTCACAACAAACAGACCGACAGGAAGATGAGCATACAAACATGTTCACGTTTGAGGGTTGCATATGTGCCTACGAGAAAGGCATGGTGGACCGTGAGAGCAAAATCTTCCCTGTGGCCTGATTTGAGAAGTTTTGTTATCAATTTAATCAGGAGAAGGGCAGGAAATAAAGGCCGCTTAGGGGCCAGTGAAGGACTCTTAGGGAAGAGGATGGCCCTTAGGAGAGTAGAGGATGGCCCTTAGGAGAGTAGAGGGGAGGTGCCACAGGTGTGAGGAGGTTTGTCAGGGAGTAGCCTGACCTCTAGGACGCTCTTCCCAGTCACTCACTCCAGGGAGGGTCTAACAGTCCTCTGGCTGGAGGTTCTGTCTTTCAGAAGACAAGAACATTCCAGAGAAAACTGCTCTCTGCGCCCATTGTTTTTCAGTGCCTACCTCCCTAAAACACTCGGCACCAACACATCAAAGAGACATATGTATAGTAGCCTGTTCTGAAACCCCATCAGGAACAGAGGTGACTTTGAAACGATTAAAAATATGTAATTCAGTTACCAGGTTTTCATAATTAAATGAGTTGAAATCATTTCAAGACTTTAAAACATTTATGTATAAAAACCCCAGTCCCTTACTTAATGTGGTAGCACACACCTAGAATTCCAGTGCTCAGGAGGTTGAGGCAGGAGGATGATAAGTTTGAGACCAGTCTGGGTTGTATAGCAGGATTTTGTCTCAAATAAAATAGAAAGCCCAGATCTTGAACCTGGACTGCATGGGATCAAGACCCATGCGAGCCACTTACTACCTGGAAGCAACTGTCTATAATCTTTGCATATTTCCATATTTCTATGCAAAATAGGGGCAAGGGTATAGCTCAGTGACAGCATTTGCCTAGCAAGCCACACCCTGGGGTTCAGACCCCAGTGCCGAAAGGAGGCGAGGGGATGACACAAAGAGAGGAAATGATGTCTCTCATACAGGGTTTGGCTCAGGAAAGCGTTTCTGCAAACCAAGCAATACCAGGCACACAGCAAACACTTCATATACAACACTCGGCATTTTTGATATTGTCGCAATGTTTTCTTACATGTACTGTGTGTCTGTGCGCTCGTGTGTGTGTGTGTGTGTGTGATCAGAGGACAACTCAAAGGGTGTGTACTTACAAACTTCAGATCTCCCTCACAGACGTTAGCATCTGGCCTCTCTCAAAGCTCAAACGAGAGCCTTGCTTTTCTGGTGATGTGTACAGTGCGTTTCCTTTTATAGTGTGTTTTAGGTATTTTTTTTCCACCATGAACAATACAAACCAGCTCAGGCAGGACAAGCTGCAGGCGCTCACCGGAGCACACAGCAGGACAAACCGGCCATAGAGTGAACCAGGCACACACAGGCCCTAAAGCCTTCATTTTTTGTCACGCCCCCCCCACTCCCTTATTTTTACCTTTAGTGAAAGGTCAAGGGTCAGAGGCTTCTTAAAGCTTTTTGTGTTTGAATAGTGTGAATGCACAACCTTCAGCTTCCAGCACCCTCTGTAAAGGATTGCTAGCGTGTAGAGCAAAGTGGGTTTCTGGGTGTGTGTGTGTGTGTGTGTGTGTGTGCACAGATGGGGGTGGGGGGGACATCAGATCTCCTTCTCCAACCCTCCTGTCTGCACCCTCCGCGGGTGTCCTGGACCACCCCTGACTTTTTACATAGGCTCTGGAATCAGCAGTCAGGTGCCCACTGCACAGGAGTACTCTCTGCTTAGAATCATCTCGGAAGTCTGTGCTGTCCAAGCCTGAAGAAGGGCTTTGATTCTGGCCACCTAGACTGTTGGACTTGGAGCCCTAGAGCAGAGGAAGGCAAAATATGCCTTCTACACATGGCCTGTAACATCCATGAGGTTCTCCCATAGCTGGGGCTGACTGTGAACATCCGTCCATCCATCTGGCAATCACAGACAGGCTTTGGGAATGCAATAAAGGTTTAGTCAGCCAACTGCCAGGAGTTATTTGTGCCTGCCAGGCCCCAACAAGTGAGTGCAAATGACACCAAACCTGGGTGTGCACTGAAGGAGTCAGGACTCACTGGAGAGAGCGCAGCTGGCCCAGCCCGCAGGGAGTGATTTCATTACCCGAATGGGACTTGAAAACAAATTGTCTCACCTCCACTTCACACTGCTGGGTTGCCATGGACTTCGTGTTTATAAATTTTCCACTGCCTCCATCAAGTTGGGTTGATTTTTAAAAATTATTATTATTTCCTTATTATTAGGTCGTGCACTGTATTTTGACTTCTTCACCCTTTCAAGTTCCTTTTCTAGTCCGGCAGGTCCATCTGGAAGCTCTCTCCAAGGGAGCTTTTCTAACTGTGCTAAAGCCCCAGAAGGTTGGTTTGTTTTCATTCCAGCCCCAGGCTCTGCAGAAACCACAGGGGGCCTTTTCCAGACTTCCTTCCAGTACAAACAAAGCTCGAGAGGCCTGCTTAGTTTCACTCTGCCCACGTCTCTGGGTCTCTGGAGGAAGGAGAGACCCCTGACCTTCTGTAAATATCTCAACACAACCAGTTCTCCAAGGAATTAGAATTTGTGCTTTTGAGTCAGCTCTGAAACAACCATGACCGAGGACCTATTTTTATGGCTGGGTGTGCTTTCTTGATAATGGGATGTTTTTAATGCTATATTTTTACGGCTGCTAACAAAAGAATTTCATGGCCTAAAACTCTAGTGGTGGGAGGGACACAAAAGAGGAGTACACGCGTAGCGTGATTGTAGTGTCTGGTTTGATCCAGCCACAGACACGGGTAGATCACAGAAAACTCTATAGGATTGAGAAATCTTTCCGCTACAAGCCTGGTCTGCTAAAGTGAGAACATCCGTGCCCTTAAAATGGAGCCTAGAAAACTGAGACTCGATGAGGGCCCCAGGGCAGAACATTTCGTAGCTTTGTCTTTCCCTCATGTATACGCGTGTGTGCACTGTGCCCACATGCATGTGGGAGCATGAACCTCTGTGTGTGTGTGTGTCTGTATGGGTGTGTGGGTGTGTGTGCGTGCACGTGCGCGTGTGTAGGCCTGAGGCTGATGTTGGTCTTCCTTGAATGCTCTTCATGTTATTCTCGGAGGCAAGGTCTCTCGGTTGAACCAGAGCTCACCAGTACGGCAAGTCTGGCTTGCCAGCCTGCTCTCCTGATGCCCTGTGCCAGCTTCCTATTGCTAGTATCGTAGGCAGGCCCCCACGGCCACGCTGCATCTGCAGGGATTCTGGGGACCCAAACTCTGATACCCACACTTGCATGGTCCACAGTGTACATCTGAGCCACCTCTGCAGTCTAGGATAGGAAGTTATAGGATACACGCCAACATTCCTGGTGGACGCCAGCAACCATGGGCAATACTCCGAATATTCTTAGGTACACTGTAGTTTTTCCTATACATATTCACCTATGATTAAGTTTAATGTGTAAATCTGGCACAGGAAGATATTAGCCACGATAATTAATAATAGCAGAACAATTATAACAATATGTCGTGACAAATGTTAAAAGCGTATAGTCACCCAGAGTGCCTTACTGTTCCTCTGCTCCTCAAGGAAGCAGTTCATGGGACTTCTCTTTGGTGTATCCCAAGTGCTAACATCACTACTCATTACTAAATAAGAGTTACTGGAACAGAAGTGCCATGATACCATGACAGTCAAACTGATATCCAAGACGGCTCCTCAGTGACTAATCGGAGAATATTAAATCCGGTGTGGACATACTGTAAAAGGAATGACTTCTAGCCCAGACACAATGCCACAAGCCTTCACCACGATATTTAGAAAGCACACAATTTAAATTCGTGAATTATTTATTTCTGGAATTTTCCATGAACAATTTCAGCTGATAGTTGACTGTGGGCAACTAAAAGCTTAGAAGCTGATACTGTGGTAAGGAGAGAATATTAACATAGCTGGTTTTCAGAGTGGAATTTCTGGTTTACAGAAACCAGGAATTTTGTCACCAGGAACCAGGAGAGAGGGTCTCCAATGATTTAGTGTCTCTGCCATGTCCATCTGCTCAGAAAAGGAATTGTTCAGTTGACTATGGGAAAGGGAAATCACGAGTATTTGAGATTCAGTTTTGTGTTGTGAGAGGCAGACATGTCATTTCTGGTATCCTTCACACAAGAATGTGGTGGTACACGTATGTTGGTGTTGTGTTATTCCTTTGGGTCTGGTCCCTTTAAGGGCAAGCCACGCCCACTCCCAGCCACTTCTGACCTCCTAGTGGCCATCTTAACTCTTCCTCTTCTGTCCCCATCTCTCGGCGTGTGCACACGTGTCTCCTCTGTCTCTATGTTTTTATGTCTCTGTCTCTCTATCTCTGTCTCTTTGTCTCTCTGCCTCTTCTTTAAGTAATAAATGTTTAGCTTTATGTATAGTCTTATATTTATTTACTCCGCCATCCGCCGCACCCACCCGCCTGACTCGCCCAGCCGCATGGCAGGACCAGCCTGCCACCCTGGAGGTCTTGCAGGGACCCACAGCTGTCCTTGTCGGACTAGCGGCTGCTCTGTGAGCCTGGCAGGGAACATGCCAGCATTAAACACAGCAGTAAGGACATGGAAAATTTTTAAAAACTTTGCTTGTTCAGGAGCAGGTTAATGTACTGAGTTCATAATACTTTGCAGCGTCAAGAGTTAGCTGGAAACACCTTAGCAAAAGTGCAGACCATCTGTCCCTAGCAGCTAGCCCCCTGTGACACCCAGCTTTGTGGTCTAGACAGGGGCAGGAATAACTGCTTGGGAGAGGGTGGGAGGGCACACACAGAAGCAGAAGTCGTCCATACCCTGTGCTCAGCAAAACCAACCCCCTTGACCCTAAGTAAACCTGCGGTTTTTGCCTATGTATGTCAACCCCAAATGAGGAACGGAACTCTCCCTACTGCGCTGTGT